TATTTACTATATTTTAAAATTTAGAGCAAAAAATAATACCATTGGGCTGAGATTTTAATTTTGAAAAAAGTTTTTTCTTACCAATTGAACGGAAATAATAAACTATTTTATAAGTGTAATATAAAAATAAATTCTATATATTTCTAAAAACAATTGATTTGAACTGAAAAAGTATTCAGAAAATCGATGCCAAACGGTTGTATTTGAGAAAATATTTTGATAATAACAAGAGACAGGAGCAGGGTTATTATTTGAATGCTAAATATTCCTTAAATATCTTATTGTAATAATAAAATGATATTTGAGATTGAAATTTAAAATAAATAAACTAAAAAATGTGAAGAATTTGAAAACTCATGGTGTACTGTAATGATAGTGTAGGTGATAGTGTAGGTGAGTATGTGGTGGTGGACTGAGAGACTCACCCAGTTCTATGTCCTGGTCATCAGTCAGTATGAATATAATATTTGGCAACTTTTCACTCGTACTGTTGTGCCGTTTTCTGAAAGCCCTTTGAGTGGTGTGATTGGGATATAGACTTGAAATGGGATTCATTGGCGGCACTAATCTTCGTCTCGAATTCCTGTGAATGTCTGACAGTTGAGGACTAGAGTGTGAATCACTTGGATTTATAACGGTTTGCCTGTCGATGGACTCACTGTTGTCTTCGGATTGTACTTTAAAAGAAAGATTATCCATATTTTTGTGGATATATTTGTGTCGATTGTAGTGATTGTGATGTCGCCGGACATGGCTTTGAGTATATGAGGGATTACTTTCATAATTCTCGAAACCATTAGTTTTATCAATTGTTAAGTAAATTATAAAAGTATACAATAAATACATATTTATTTTAACGACATATCTAATTGGATTACACATTATATTGGATATTTTGACTATTTTTAAATTATAAAACACTAAAGCGATGATTGAATTATAAATCTCAATCTTCGTTTATGATTCTGAAATGAAATGAAATATTTTCTTATCGTTAGTTATTTTAATAAATTACATATGTAAATATTAGTGACACAATAACTAAATCAATACTTATTCTCACACTCTTTAAACAATAAATAGTTTAAATACGGTGTTTATAGTAAAAAGTGAAAGACATTGAATTAAGTGTAATATTAAGTCATTTAGAGA